GGTGAAGAATCCAAACCCAACTTAACCAGGGGACCAGCCTGATGTCTGGAGAAGTGAAGTTTATTCGTTTGTGTGCAGGTACCAGACACCTAGCCAGCCCATAAGACACTGGGCTGATGCAGTTTTATAGCTGGACTGATGCCAAGATTAGGCTCAGCCTATACATAAGAAGTGACAGGTGTGACAGACATGACCATGTAGGGATAAAGAAGAATAGACAGAAGAATGTTCTAAATACAGTCACAGTACAGGAAACACAATACTGAATATAATGACATGTAACAACACTAAACACACTTCCTACAGTGGTGAAACCTGTTTGATTTAGTAATGCGTCCAACTGAACTTAGTAAACATATTATAGTTAGGTTAATGTAAAACCGCTGGGGTGAATTTGACTCTGCTTAGCTGCTAAACTCACATACAAACTCATCTCCAGCGAGGTGACCACAATGCTGACTAATTTCAATGTTGACTAAACCAAATATACTTAATTAGATAGAAGATCTGACTAATATGAGGGAATAAATCCAGGGAATACTCAATCCAGGCAAAATTTCAGAATTTATTTGACCACAGCTGTTGAGTAAATGTGTAAAATTAGATTATGATACATTATTTGATCATTGGGATCCCTGGGGGGGGGTTTCTTTCCTCAAGTTCCCCACCTGTATGGTAACTGTTTTCAGTATCAGAGAGTTTAATGGAAGATAAACCATTTCAAATGCAAATGTTTCAGTAATAATAATAAAAACAATAATATCTAGTTTGATCAGTTTATCTGTAGCATCTAAATAACTCAGCAATTGAAGTTGCTTGTTTGAACAAATTGTCTTTATGATTAATGATGAAATTCTTTCTTTGTCCACAGATGCTCCTCAAAGCTCACTCTACTCAGAGGACGATGTGGAGCTGGGCTCTAATAACACCCTCATCTGTTACATCACTGGATTCTACCCAGCACATGTTGGAGTTTCATGGACCAAGAATGATATAGATGTGACGAGTGAAGCTTCTCTCAGCAGATATTACGTCACTGATGATGGAACCTTCAACCTGGTCTCCCATCTGAGCTTCATTCCAAAGAAGGATGATATCTACGCCTGCACTGTGGAGCACGCGGCCCTGGATAGACCACTGACCAAAACATGGGGTGAGATTTATACCTGCTTATAGACCTGATTCTGTTAATGGGCTTCATTAATGAATCTCTGAGTGTAACAGTGAATGAGAACCATGGAGGTTTGATAATTACCTGATGAGCTGGATCAGGTGTGTTGTGGTGGGGAACAGGTTAAGTTTGCAGGACAGGCGGTCAGTAAGAAAAGAACTGGGCCCTTTGATAATAACAGAGTGAACAACTGAGTCTATATTGTGAATTAAGCTAAAAAGTGGTGAAAAACTGGGATTCCAATCTGTGTATGAGCATATTTTATGTATGTGTTTTCTGTGTTGTTCAGATGTGCAGGTCACTCCTCCCAATCTGGGTCCGACTGTCTTCTGTGTAGCGGGTCTGGCTGCAGGACTGCTGGGAACCGCTGTTGGAATCTTCTTCTTCATCAAAGGAGGCCACAAAGGAAGCAGCAAAGGAAACTGCGGGAAACAGACTCCTGACTTCGTGCGGTGGGGTTTACTTTCAGAACAGAAATTACTTGAGCTCCTCGGGAAAAAGAAGCTGGTTCAGAAAACGACGCCTCTGACTTTTAAATGATTATTTCAGGTTTTACAGGGAGACTCGCAGCAGCGCACGCTCATCATATTTCAGCCTGTTTTTATTCTCCTCACTCTGTAATGATGCTTTTTACAGCTTTAAAAACACTGTTTTAACATGCTTGAAATCAAATTAATTTGGAAATGTTTAAGTATAACACTGATTTGGTTGCAGACCGGAGTAATCACTGCTGGATCATAGGATACGAAGCACATGATAATAGATGATTTTAATACACTAACATTGCTTGGGATCAATGTTTTCAAAAATATAAAGCCTGTGAAAAAACACTGACTATGTTTTGATGATTTAGGGGAATCCTGCTGTGCTTAACTGAAATATATGTCTATGTATATTTCACTGTTGATGGAAGAAAACCTCTTACCTCCAAAATTACAACTTACTTTATTTTCAACATACTTTACTTTTAATGTAAGTCAATGGAACCAGAATTTTTTCCAAGTCATTTTGGGTTGTTTCTTTTGGTCCATCCTTCATGAAATTTACACACAATGTAAAGAACAACAGGGATTTTCAAAAATGACAAAAATGGAGGTTTTCTTCTAACAGCAGTGATATATATTCTTTCTTCAATTAAGAAAATGGTTCCATATAGAACCATCAACACTCAAAGAACCCTTTGCATCATTTAAGAGCTCTTCAGGTTGATGAAGAATGTGCTGTAGATGGTTCTATACAGTAGCTTTTTGAAAATGGCTCTATACAGCACCAAAAAGGGTTCTTCTATTGTTATGATTTCAAGCCTGTAACAATAGAAGAGCTCATTTTGGCTCTTTTAATACGGAGCAATGCTGTTGTAATATGTGCAGAATGTGGTTTGATTCTGTCTTGCTGAAATAATCAAGGCCTTCCCTGAAAAAGACGTCATCTGGATGGCAGCATATGTTGCCAAAACATGTATATATCATTCAGTATTAATGGTGCCTTCACAGGTGTGCATGTTACCCATGCCATGTGCACTAATGCACCCCTGTACCATCATGAATACTGGCTTTTGAACTGTGCACTGATAACAAGCTGAGTGGTCTTTAGCCCGGAGGACACATTGTCCATGATTTCCAAAAAGAATTTCAAATTTTGTTAATTGGACCACAGGACACTTTTCCACTTCCCCTCAGTCCATTTTAAATGAGTTCAGGTCCAGAGAAGGTGGCAGTGTTTCTGGATCCTGTTTATTTATGGTTTCTTTGCGTTTTAGAGTTAAATTTAGAGTAAGTTAGAGTTTAACATTGCGTGTTAACTTAAATTGCGGATGCAGTGATAACCTGTTTTCACAGACAGTGTCCATGCAGTGATTTCCACTACAGAATCATGCCTGTTTTTAATGCAGTGCTGCCTGTGGGCCCAAAGATCATACATACAGAGATTTCTCCAGATTCCCTGAATCCTTTAATGATATTATGTACTGTAGATGATGAAAAGCAGAAGTTCTTTGCTATTTTATGTTGAGAAACCTTATTTTGGAATTGTTGCACTATATGATTGTGCAGTCTTTCACAGAGTGGCGAATCCCTCCTCATCTTTACTTCTGAAAGACTCCCAACTTTGGAACGTGTTGTTGGCATCAAATTCAAAATGGGCAAATATTTTTCAAAAAACAATAAAATTTTCAGTTTCAACATTTGATATGTTGTCTTTGTACTTTTTTCAATTAAATTTGTGAATTGCATTTTGTTTTTTATTTACATTTTGCACAGCGTCTCAACTTTTTTGGAAATAAGGTTGCAGACAGATCACAGGAACGGATGCAAACACATCCTGATCAAATGCAAAAAATGAAACATTCATCTTTTAAACACTGGAGCTACCTTACCTTGATCATTACAATCATTATAAATGTATTTCATTTTTACAATGCAGTCAGATGTTACTTCAGTACTGTAACTAGTGTACTAAAAGTACTTTAAATAATACATCATTCAGTAATGCATGTAAGCTGAAGGATGTAACCCACTTTTACTGATCTTAATACAAACACATGACATAATATTTTTCTCTATGGTTAAAGTAAGAAAAACCATTTAACCAGTCGTAACACATCAAAATTATATCAAGATATATTCTGATTCAGCCCTGCGATGGACTGGTGACCTGTCCAGGGTGTATCCTGCCTTCTGCCCAATGACCGCCGTGATAGGCTCCACCTCCCCCTGTGACCCAGAGGGATAAGCAGTTTAGAAAATGTGTGTGTGTATATTCTGATTCAAATATTAAGTAGTGCTCGTTTATGAAACATTAGGCACATCATGAACAGCGGGGAGGTTATACATCTCAGCTTCATGATAGACACTCAACTCGACCACCTAAGCCCACTGCCCTGGACACAGTAACACCGGCAACATGTACACTTGGCGAGCCTGTGATGGTGTGTGCAATGAGTCAACTGCCATCCATGCTGCAATCGACCCACAGCCTCTAACCACTGAACCTTCTGGCCCACATCTATTTACCTGCTGGTCCAGGCTCACATCACCACCCAACACAGTGGCCTCTCTCTCTCTGAAGTGCCGGTTCACTAACCACTCCACTGTTCACTGTGGTGCTTCCACACCAAGGTTTTTCAATGGTTTCACTTTCACCAGCAACACCGCTATGCCTCAACGCGTTTTGGCATTTGGCATCAAGCCTTTCTGTTATGACCCCATCGTTGGGCCTTCCCATTCCGGCTCTGTCATCAAGCCTCACCTTGCAGTGCCATTCACCCATAAGCTCTTTGAAACTCAATTCCACTGCAGACTGCTAGGGGGGAGCTATCCCACTTCTGATACCACTGGCTTAGAGTAAGACACAAAAGAATACATGAATCTGCTGCAAGAAGTGACCTTTTATTGACACCAGCAGAAAGGCACATAAAACAGGTGGGGACAACAGGCCAGGGAACTACTTGCCATAGCTCTTCACTCTACAGTAGATGCTACACATGCTAACTAACCAAACTGCCCAAAAAACACATACACACACCTTTAAAGGATGGAACAACAACATAAAATGTCACTTTTTCTGGGGGTCACATGCCATCCATGAGTCTCTTTGCATGGCCCGCTGCATGGTCACACATCCAGAGCCTCTACAGCAGCACAAACCAGTAGCAGAATGCTACACTTTTTATGAATTCTGTCAGATTATATTCATGATTAGATGAGATAAATCTTCATCTGCCAGTGTCATAGTTTACTTTATAGTTATTAAATCAGTGATTAAAAAATTTGTCATTTTAAAAATAATTTTATAAATGCACTAATAATATCTGATATTTGCAGTGAAGCCGAAGGCCCGCCTCAGGTTAGAAAGGCAGGCCAGTAGTAGTCATCCAGCCATGCTGATGTGCAGCGCATATGGCTTCTACCCCCCAGCCATCGATGTGTACTGGCTGAGAGACGGTAAAAAGGTGACCAGTGATGTGGTGTCCACTGAGGAGATGCGTAATGGAAGCTGGTACTATCAGGTCCACTCCTACCTGGAGTACACGCCCACATCTGGAGAGAAGATATCCTGTGTGGTGGAGCACGTCAGCTGTAAAGAGCCCATCATCATTGACTGGGGTGAGAAATAAACAAAATGTATTACATTGTCAATAAAGATTCAACAGAACTCAAGGTGAAATTATCATAAAGGTGTGTAAATGGTTTTATATTCATAACAATAAGTTTATGTTGACAATAAAATTCACATTTCTTTTTAAAGGTACTTAACATTAATGAATTGGTGTTTTTGTCCCACAGGGGGTTATTTCACTGATTCTGATATGAACAAGATTATCGTCGGAGCTTCAGGGTTTGTGTTGGGGATCATCCTGTCCACTGCTGGATTCATCTACTACAAGAAGAAATCTCCAGGTCAGACGTTGATCCAGCAGACATGAATTCATCTGGAATATTGATGAATGAATGTAATTTACATAATATAATTGTTTACGTGTTTTACAGAGTCCCTGTGAAGTACTGGTAAGCTTTATAATGAGTTATTATGCTTTTTTATGAGTCATTACTCTATTATTACTCTTTGTTTGTAATTCAAGAAAAGAACTAGTGTTTTTTAATAACACTGAATTTTGAAAAATGTTAAAATTCTGTCTGAATTCTTGCAGGTTCTTCTGATGATAGAGGAATCGTCTTTAATGTCAAGTGGTGAAGCACTGAAGTCTATATCACAGCTTTAATTACCTGCACAGTGTTTACAGAATTCATTTTAAATATGTTTTATTTTTAACAATCCTTTCTAGAACTGAACATCCATGTTTGCTTAAGCATGAGCTGATATTTTGCTTTGTCTAAGTTTCTTTGTTAGATTGTTTTGGGTCAATAGATATATTTCTGGACTTGATATTGTCCAAATTTAAATAAAAACTGTCACTTAGGCCTTCTACAGGTTTGTATGAAGAGGCCATTTTAATGTACATACTCAACTCTTAAATATTCTGTTTGTATATAAAAATATATATATATATATATATATATATATATATATATATATATATATATATATATATATATATACTACAGTTTAGAAGCAGAATAACTGAACGAGTCTCTCCACGTTTTCTGTATTTTTCAGAAGGTGTTTGCAGAAGGTCAGTATCTGCAGAACATAAACAGACAGAGTGGTGTCGTCAGCATAGCTATGAAAATGTATATATTATTTTTTCTAATGACATCACCTAGAGGGAGCATGTACAAAGAGGAAAGCAAAGCCCCTAAAACCGAGCCTTGAGGGACTCCACAAAAAATGCCAAATGTTTTTGATGAATGATTTCCCATTGAAACTGTGAACTGCCTATTACCTAAATATGATTTAAACCCTTCTAAAACTGTGCATGAGCAGCCAACCCAGCATTCAAGATGCTGAATTAAAATCTTGTGGTAAAAGGTATCAAATAAAACCAGAATAGAAGGATTTTGTGAATCAGCCCTGTCATTCACAATGAGATCCATGCGATGCCATCTCAGTATTATGGTTAGAAAGAAAACCTGACTGTATTTTAGCAGTTAAATAAGGTTCAAAAGAAATCACAGATTATTGTTTTTACTGCATTTTAAAAAAAAAAAATCCAAATGTTTCCAAAACAGGGTTTTGTAAAACTGTGTGTGACATCTAGTAGTAATCTTCCATGTTAAGATCCTGAAGCCTGTCTGCTGGTTTGTTACTTGTTTTTATGAATTTCTGTACAAAATATCATTCTGAAAGCAGTGGATCTAATAAAAAAAGTACTTTCACTTTCTGTTTTCTTCAGTGTTGCAAACTGACTAAGCCATACTTTGTTATACAGTTTTACAGTTTATTCTTTTAATAACCAATTAAAGTGATTTTTAAACTGGCAAACAAAATGATATGTGATTAAGTGTATTCACATGTTTCTTCTCATATACTGCTTCTGACATCTTCAGTAGTAGCTGTAGTATTGAAGTAACTTTCAGTGTTGCTCATATTGAACAGAACTGTAAAGAACTCCTTTAGTCCTGTATTGATCCTGTACAGTATTCTTGATTTGCAGTAACAGAGGTTTTGTGTGTTTTCATTGATCAGTGGTTTAAACTCACCAGTTCTGAAAGTTTGAAGCTCACAATTGTGAATAAAAAAAACATTGTCAGTTAAGACAAACATCTGCGGTGTATCAGGAAAAGAGGAAGTGTGTGATTGTATAGGAATACGTTTAGTTTCACCTCTGAAAGCAGAAAGAAAACTGCTCATGTGGTCACTGATTATGGTAGCCAAACTAAAATAAGTGCTGGGGAGTTTTGGGGGATTCAGATCTCTGATCATCACAGGCCTCTCAGACGTGTGCCTGATCTCCACATTTCACAAAAATCACTCCTAACTGTAATTAAGAGTCAGCTGGTCATGCATATTTCTGTGATATCAAGCAGTATCTTCAGCTTTCACTTTTAAGGTCCTTTTTCTGAACCACTATCTGAGGGAAATTCTATACATATGCTCTTTTGCTAAAAGTGCTTTTAAAAAATTTGGAATTTTCGGATTTTTCCAGCATTTATATACAAACAAATTGAAATGAAATTGAAAACTGAACAAAGCTGCAAATTCTTTCATTCATGACTGTTATTAAAAGAAACACTAGCTCAGTACTGCAATGAAATTTTAATGTTCCATATTTTAATAATGTGTGATGTTTTTGTTTGCTGTCCTACAGTGGATAAAAAATAAATTTGTCACTGTTTGCCATTGTTCATCATTGTTTGTCTTATATCAGTGTTCATAAATAATTTGATGTGTGTGTGTCTATCAGTTGAGCTGTCTGTCTGTCTTATAGATAAATAACATATAATGCAGTATGGTTGAAAAATATTATATTTGCTATTTACAATAAAGATTTATACTGAATTAACTTCATCAGATTTTTCTAGCAGGTTTTAAACTGACCCACTGTCTGTTAAAATAAACCCACCCCTTTGTAATGTGTTCAGAATGTGGTTTAGCACTGCCTTGTTGCAATATGCACGACTGTCCCTGGAAAAGACGTCATCTTGAAGGCAGCATATGTTGCTCCAAAATGTACCTACTGGCATTAACGGTGCCATCACAGCCCCATACCCTGACTGACCCTGGCTTTTGGATTTGTTGGACTGCTGGTAACAGTCTAAATGGTCCATTTCGCCTTTGGTCCGACACACTCAGCATCCAATTCTATCGGAAAACGACCTCACATACTGACTCTGATGAAACATACCAGCACTAGGAGACTAAACACAGTGAATACCTATCTAAACCTGTCAGTTTGAGCCAGAACTCTGTTTACAGCTTTCCTCTCTTCAGCCTAACACTCAGTACTCAAAACGAATCAGCCAAATCAAACTTCACGTGAAGTGAGTCAGAAAAAAGTGATCTGATGCAGAGAAATGACTCTAGTTATTATATTTCTATTCTATTTATGATTGTAGTTATTCTGGTTTTGTTGATATTCAATAATAATTCAGCTTCCAGTTATGTCACACGGAGGCATCACACTTGGCTGGTCTTGACAACAGTTTTCTAATCCATCTCACTGAGACTGAGCCGAGACCAAGGCCACTAGTTTATAGCATTGAGACTGGACTCAAGTAATACAACACTAATATCAGCTATTTTCATTATTGTGGCAGAATTGAAATGTATGCTGCTGCCTCTAATGACAGATATCTGCTGATATCTGCCTTTTACAGAAATTACTGTTAACTAGAGTTATGAGTCAGCTTGTCATCCACTTTTCTGAGAAATTAAGCAATATGGTTCAGTTTCAATGTGCTTTTTTGAGGGAACTTCTACATAAACACAGTTCTGCGAACACTAAGCCTAATGAGAAAAACACTTTGATTTGCTCCAGATACACAGGAAGCTCTTGGGCGCTCTGCATTACAATGGGGCTTCTGTCAAAGATCGTGCCTAGTTCTTCTATGTGTGCCTGTTTCTGCCCCCATAGCGTACAAGCTGAGTGGTCTTTAGCCCAGATTTCACAGTGTCCATCATTTCCTAAAAGAATTCAAATGTTGATTTGTCGGACACTTTGCCACTTCCCCTCGGTCCATTTTAACTGAGCTTAGGCCCAGAGAAGGTGGCAGCATTTCTGGATCCTGTTTATATGATTTCTTCTTTGCGTTTTTGAGTTTTAACTTGTATTTGTGGATGCAGTGATGAACTGTTTTCACAGACAGTGTTTTTCAGAAGTGTTTCTGAGCCCATGCAGTGATTTCCACTACAGAATCATGCCTGTTTTTAATGCAGTGCTGCCTGAGGGCCCAAAGATCACAGCCAGCAAATACTGGTTTTTGGCTTTGTCCCTTGCATAGAGAGATTTCTCCAGGTTCTCTGAATCTTTTAATGTCATTATGTACTGTAGAAGTTCTTTGCTGTTTTATGTTGAGAAACGTTATTCTTGAATTGTTGCATTACTTGTGCAGTTTTTCACAGAGTGGTGAATCCCTCCTCATCTTTACTTCTGAAAGACTCCGCCTCTCTGAGATGTGCTTTTCGTAATCACATTACTGACCTGTTGCCAATTAACTACCAGGTGTTTTTTTAGCATTACACAACTTTACCAGTCTTTTGTTGCCCCTGTCCCAACTTTTTGGAACGTGTTGTTGGCACCAAATTCAAAATGGACAAAAAAAAAACAATAACATTTCTCAGTTTCAACAATTGAATATGTTGTCTTTGTACTATTTTAAATTAAATATAGGGTTTAAATTATTTGCACATGATTGCATTTTGTTGTTATTTACATTTTGCACAGCACCCCAATTTTTTTCGAAATGGGGTTGTGTTTTGGTGTCATTCTCAGTGTTTGTTTTTTTTCCTTTTTGGTCAAGAGAACCTGCTCATGACTACATTCAGTCTCATCACTCGCCAAACGTGACAAAATGAGGCTTTTATCAGAATCTATGCTCTAAACGAGTGGCTGAAAATATGGAACAACTTGGATTTTATTGACAATTGGAACATTTTTAGGTAAGGCCTTCTTTTTATCACAAAGACAGACCACACCTGAACCATCGTAGCCCTACATACTTTATCCATGAACTACGAGAAGGCAATCAGTAAAATGTGATGGGAAAATAAAGTATAAAAGTAAACTTATCTGGCACTAACGGTTACTTCTCTATTCAAACTATAATGAACAATCGCAGTGCTGAACAAACTGCTGGAACTAAATGGAATAAATATTTGAACAAGAAGTAAAAAAATAAAAAATAGCAACTTATCTGGCACTAACGGTTACATCTCTATTCAAACTGTAGTATCACGTGTATCAAGTACTGCAGGAACTAAAAGGAATAAATATTTGCATTTGTTAGCCTACTTATTGCTCTGTAACAAAGCCAGATAGAAATTTTAGAATAGCACTGATGAATATAAGAGCACTAACTAACAAAA